TAAGATTGTTCTAATTTTTAGACTTCAAATCATTATTCTTAGAAAAATAAATAAATAAATAACATGACACTCCTTCTATTGACCTGTCAAGTTACCTATTAGATAAAATAAAAATAAAAAATAAAAAATAAAAGTAAATAAATAAATAAATAATATTATAATTACCCTTCTGACTCAACTAAGAAGGATTTGTTGTGGTTCTATAAAGATCACTTCTTTAATCGCTACTCTAAAAAAAAATAATAATAAATAAAAAATAAAAAAATAGAAAAAGTGCCAAAATATCATTGAAAATCACATGTTATAACATTTTATGGTATGTGAATAGAGACCAGTGTCATCATGAAGTCAGACACTAATTAAATAAATAAGTAAGAGTGGTCTGACTTTTAAACTTTAAGTCCTTATCCTTGTCAAAAATAAAGAGAAATACTACCTGTTCTCATTCGACTCAACTACAGTGAGAAGGATTTGTCGTGGGAGTACACTAGGATCACTTCTTGTATCACTACTTTTAAAAAACAAAAATAAATAAACAGACAAAATATCATTGGAAATCACATGTTATAACACTTTATTGAATGTACCCTTTTGGTTCATAACCAAAAAAAAAAAAAAGAAAATTTTGTATATCACACACTTGTACGGGGTCAATGTGCAAATTTTTTAAAGTTCAAGGATACTATGAAATTAACCTTAACAATTTCGTATTCTGAAGACGCATTTAACGATCACTTAATTGCTCGTGAGGCTTCAAAAATTCTACAAATCAAGTGCAAAATTTTCAATCTAAAGGTTCATGTGCAATATTTTAATAATTCATGAATTTTTTTTACAATTCATACACTTATCAAGTCAAGCATAAAATTCTACATGTTATTGGTTTATGTTTAGACACGTAAGGAAATACTCATTAGGTAATACACGAGCCAGTATATAATAAATAAAGTATTCAAGTTGTTGGGTTTTTCTTTTTCTTTTTTTCAAATAAAAAAGAAAACTACAAGACAGGGCGAAGAGAGCCCGAGCAAACAAAAGATAAATCTTCCTAAATGGCCTGAAGAAACCATGAAGGCTAAATAGACCAATGCAGGTCGCCACATTTATGGGCCAGCGCCTGTGGGCCCTCCAGTAAGAATTGTCCACGTCATCACACTACAAAATTATTCTAGGTACAGCAAGGGCCCAATTGGTGTCGGGCCCAAATTGGGGGAACCCAGTCCAGAGCAAACCCAGACAAAGTCTTGGCTCCTATATAGATCACAGACCCGGGCCACCCGGCCCACCTTCCAAGCTCGGACGTCAATAGCCCGGAGCACCAAGGGTGAACTCCAAGCCTATTAGCTGATTCGTCTGAATCAACCCATATTCAGCCCAATCTTAGTTAAAGGAAGACCAGTCCTGTTAGGCTAAGGAATCAACAAGGAGAGCAAGTACGTGCAAGGAAAATCTTGCATGGAAAGAATTGTAAAAAGGAAAGGATTGTAATTGTAAAGAATGTCATATATGGAATGGATTGGAGGACAAGCCATGCGAATCCTACCATAATTTCACAACCTTGTTTCTTATAAATAGAGGCTTAGACCTCCAATAAAATCATCGAGCATTATATACTTATTCTGAGTATTAGTTTTATTGGTTCTGAGTGAGTTGTATTTTTCTTTTTATTTATTTTAATAGAGAGAGATTTTGCACCTACACTTTGGCGCCGTCTTTGGGAAACGTATAGAAAGATACTCCCACTTTTGTTTCAAATTGTTTTTGTTTCCACGATCTAGAATGTCGAACGGAGAATCAACGGCGGCTGATCAACAGATGGAGTTGGTGCGAAAGATGCGAGAAGAGTTCTTGCACCAATTCGAAACACTTCGTCAGGCAAATGAAGCCAGCGTAGCCCAGATTGCATTACTTCAACAGCAAAACGACACCCTTCAAACGACAATGGCTCAGTTGACACCTTAGCCACCACCAGTTGATGGGGTTGCACCTCCTCCTAACCAAAACGAGCCTCAGGTCAATGGGGTTCGGCTTAATGAAGTTCGGCCCAGCGAAGTTCAGCAAGAGCAAAGGACAAGGTCCGAGGCGATAGCTTCGGACAATCTTCCTCGTCGCACACAGGATGAACAGGCCGAGTCCAGCCGTAAGCTTATGGTATGGTCTAATGGTGTTCCAGATGGTACAGGAGTAAAGGAGACCTTTGACCAGAAGAGACTCCTGAGAGTTCAAACGCCTGCAGAGATGGCTAGAGAGCATAAGAATTCTCTCATGAAGACTCCATTCACTGACAATGTGTACCTCGTTGACAGACCTAAGAAATTCACTATGCCTTCTTTTACCCAGTTTGATGGTACGAGAGATCCTTCTCGGCACCTAGATCACTACGCATAAAAGATGGCTATGGACGATCACAATGACCCATGGATGTGCAAAGTTTTCCCTACCAGTCTAACGGGGGCTGCGCTGGAGTGGTTCAAGAATAGGCCACATAAATCTATTCCAGACTACGAAACTCTATGCACTATGTTCTTAGCACAGTATTACGGTAATAAGAAGCAAAAGAAGAGTATTGCTAGCCTCTTCACTATAAGGCAAAAGAAGGGTAAAACATTACAAGATTTCTTGTTCAGATTTAACATGGAGGATTCGGAAATAGCAGATTGCCATCCTACTACCTCAATAGAAACGTTCAAACTTGTAATGATTCAAGGAACCAAGTTCCATACATCCTTAGTTAAGTATTCCCCTCCGGATATGTAGACTCTCAATGCTAGAGCACAGATCTACATACGGCTTGAGGAAAATGTGTCCCACCGAGCTCAACATGCCACCCTCGTCACGGTGGAGAACAAGCCTTAGGAAAGGTTTCAAACTCAAAAAGCTGAAAAAGCCAGCACGCTTCGACACCAGCCATTCAAATACCCGAGAAAAGGCAAAGGACAGAGGAAAGGTTCACACCTCTTCACACAACTTTGGCTCGGCTATTTCAGGAGAATAAAATGAAATTTGCAGCCCTTCAGCCAATAAGGCAACTATTAGAACAAAGAGACAAGACCAAGCACTGCGCCTACCACAGAGATTACGGGCATACAACTAATGAATGCAGATCCTTTAGGCGGTAGGTGGAAAACATGATACTAAGAGGTGAATAGGCAGACTACCTCACAACAAAGGAGTACGTGAGACCTCGGGAGGTCAATCCTCGGAAAGTCGAAGGTAATCAAGTGAAGGTCATCCATGTAGTACATAAAAGATCGGAGGATGATCAAGAGTCAGAGGACGTTTTTAGGTCCCAATTGAGAACAGCCCATAAGCTAAGGAGGTTATCCTCGGTAAACACTATCGCTTCAGGAAGCGTCAATATCGGGTTCGGCGATGGAGATCTATTTAGAGTTCAATTCCCCCACGAGGATCTGTTGGTCATCAGTCTCTTAGTGGCGAATTGCATGATTAAGAGGGTTTTGATAGACCCGGGTAGCAGTGCCAACATCATCACAGAGGCGATCTTTGAGCAGCTAGAGATTCCGTCCTCATCAATTCAACCCACCTCCAGCCCATTGATGGGGTTTGATGGTACAATGGTAGACCCCTATTGACCTATCCGTAACCACAACAAAGAGGACACTGAAGGAGAACTTTGTTTTAACGGAGATCCACCCTTCTTATAATCTCATTATGGGAAGATGCTGGATCCACCGAATGAACGGGGTTCCATCTACCCTTCATCAAGTGATGCGATGCTTATCTCCGGACGGTAGAGAGGTTATTGACCTCAGGGAAGATCAAGTAGTTACCAAAGAGTGCTACATATTGACACAGATTGAGGCAAAGAAGGTAACAAAATAGTCCTAACCGATCACACCTCCTGGGAGATGTCCAAATAGCAATTACAGAATCCTCTGCCCAGGTATTTAAGAGTAGAGGATGAGGCCGAAGCTGAGAGGCCTACTGAGGAGTCTTTAGAGGCTGTCGAAGTAATCCTCGGCGATCCTCAGAAAGTCAGCTACATAGGTTCTTCCCCCACAGCCGAAGAAAAGAAAGCATTAATTGATGTCATTCGGTGAAACGTAGATGCATTTGCTTGGGAGCATTCGGACATGGTAGGAATCAATCCTTCTATCTCATGCCATAACCTGAAGGTGGATCCGACATACAAACTAGTCAAGCAGAAGCACAGAAGGTTCGCTCTAGAGAGAAACCAAATTATAGCTGAAGAGGTAAGCAGGTTGTTTCAAGCAGGCTTCATCCAAGAGGTGTACTATCCACAATGGCTTTCCAACGTAGTGGTAGTTCAGAAGAAGATTGGAAAATGGAGGGTGTGCATAGATTTTATCACTCTCAACAAAGCCTGCCCTAAAGACAGCTTTCCATTACCCAAGATTGATCAGATGGTTGATGCCACTACTGGTTTTGAGAGGCTCACATTTCTTAATGCGTACTCCGGCTATAACCAAATCCCTATGAATCCGGAGGATGAAGAGAAGACTACTTTCATAACAGAGAAGGGCACCTACTGTTACAGAGTTATGCCCTTCGGGCTCAAGAATGCTGGAGCAACTTACCAGTGCCTAGTTAACAAGATCTTCGATGAGATGTTAGGAAAGACGGTCGATGCCTATATTGACGATATGGTGGTCAAAAGTGTGAAGAAGGAAGAACATCCTAGGCACCTCCATGAGGTCTTTGACACTTTAAGAAAATATGGCATGAAGCTAAATCCTTCGAAGTGCTTCTTTAAGGTTTCTTCGGGATAGTTCCTCGGCTATATTGTAAACAAAAAGGGAATTGAGGTGAGTCCGGCTCAGGCTCAAACCCTTATACAAAATTAAAAACCAAAAACCCGCGGGGAAGTACAAGTTTTAACCGGTCGAATCGCAGCTCTTAGTTAATTTATCTCTCGATTGTCTGATAAGTGCAAACCATTCTTTACTACAATAAGGTCCAAAAACAAAGACATATGGGGACCTCAACAGCAGGCTGCTCTCAATCAACTGAAATGCTACATGGCGAAACCCCCAATTCTGTCAGCTCCGAAGCCTGGTGAGATTCTTATCATGTACTTAGCCATTTCCAGCATAGCCACGAGTGCAGTATTGATTAGAGAAGAAGGTAAGAATCAGTATCCAATCTTCTACACCAGCAAGACAATGACAGATGCAGAAACGCGGTATAGCAAAGCAGAGAAGATTAGACTAGCATTGGTATGTGCAAAAAGGAAACTTCGACACTACTTTGAGTCGCACAGCATCAAAGTTCTTACCAACTACCCCATACAAGTCATTTTTTCTAAACCGGATTTATCCGGAAGAATAACTAAATGGGCAATCGAGCTCAGTTCTTTTGATATATCCTACGAACCGAAGGTGTCGCGCAAAAGGCAAGCACTAGCTGATTTCCTCTTGGAATATGAAGATAAGCCCAAGGAGCCAAGCCCTTCCGAGCCACAATGGGAGCTTCGGGTGGATGGTTCGTCGAACTTGATTAGTGCCGGGGCAAAAGTCGTTATCACAACCCCCAAAGGCACCAAGTTGCAGTAATCAATCTGGCTGACTTTTCCCGCCACTAATAATGAGGCAGAATATGAGGCCCTGCTCACAGGACTCCGGTTAGCAAGCCAGCTTCAGGTAAGGTGTCTAAAAGTTTTTAGTGATTCTCAACTTGTTGTGAATCAGGTAATAGGCCAATATCAGCCCAAGGAGGATAGAATGAAAGCCTACAGAGAGGCTGTGGAGAGTGCCACACGAGGGTTCGATCAGATCGAATTCTATCAGATACCTCACGAGGAGAATTCTGAAGCAAATCAGTTGGCTGCAGCAGCATCTTCTTCAGATGAAGATTTGGTCCGGATCGTACCAATTGACATCCTGGATGAACCAAGTATAAGCCCTCGGCAGGAAATAATGGTGATCCCAGATGTTCCACATGAACCATGCTGGATGGATCCATTGGAAGCTTACCTTAAAGAGGGGACCCTTTCGAACCCGAAGGCTGAGGCATGTAAACTCAGGCTCACCGGAGCTAAATATGCTGTCATCAATAATCAATTACACCGAAAGTCATTCTTAGGTCCTTACCTGAAATGTTTAAGTCCCACTGAGGCTCTCACGATTTCGAAGCAGATTCATAACGGGGATTGTGGCAATCACTTTATAGGTAGGTACTTGGTACATAAAGTTCTAACTCAAGGTTATTTCTGGCCTTACTTGGCTCGGAATGCTGAAGAGTATGCCAGAAGATGTGATAAGTGCCAGTGACATGGTCTGATGAAACGTCAACCCGCCGAAAATTTGCACGCGATGGCAAATCCATGGCCATTCGCTCAATGGGGGATTGATATGGTCAGTCCTTTGCCTAAAACTGTGGAGAAAAAAGGAATATGTGTTGCTAGCCACAGATTACTTCACTAAATAGGTTGAAGCTGAAGCGTACTCAAGCGTGACCCATGAACAAGTGAAGAGTTTTCTATGGAACAACCTAATCTGCCGATTTGGGGTGCCGAATGTTATCATAATGGGTAATGGCCCAAATTTAGATAACCGAAGCACAAAGAAAGTTCTTTGCCGAGCATGGGATTAGGCAGAAGTTGGCTACAGTTAGCCATCCTCAGGTAAATGGGCAGGCAGAAATAACTAACCGAACCATTTTCAACTATTTGAAGAAAAAGTTGGAAAAGCTTAAATCAAAATGGTACGAGAATCTACCTCAGGTACTTTGGGCATATCGAACCACCCCCCGAAGGCCAACGGGAGAAAGCCCTTTTGCCATGGCCTATGGGTTAGAGGCTGTCATCCCTACGGAATCAGTAGTTCCGACTCTTTGGACCCACTTGGTGCTCGAAGGTAACAATGATCAGCAGCTCGAACACAGCCTTGATCTCTTGGAAGAAAAGAGGGATGCCGCGACAATTAGGCTCGCTTCGTACCAGCAATAGTTGCATAACAGTTATAACAAGTGAGTCAGGTTCAGATGTTTTGTGGAAGGAGATTGGGTGCTGAAACAGGAAACAGCCCATGTAAAAAAGCTGCAACCCAATTGGATTGAACCTTACAGAGTCACAGAAGAAGTAAGGAAAGGAATGCAATACACTTGAAAAGGTACTATCATTAGATGATATAGTTTGTTTACTTTCTATTCACAGACAGCATATGTCTATTTTTTTTATCCAAGTATGGCTGTTTCTAGGCCCATATAATAAAAGTTTCTTGAGTTATACACATCTTTACTCCTTTAGTAATGTGGGGTATTACTTCTTGTTATTTTCTTTTATCGTAATAGGGGGCAATACATGTACCCTACTATTAATATTGCAACAAAAGCATGTACCATGTACCCTACTGTTGATATTACGACAAGAAATATATTACCACAAAGCAAACAAAACAAATAATTTTTTGGCTTTTTGGTGGTACTTACAAGTCCTTTTTCATACAAAAGTACTTTGGAATGCATGTACATTACAACGAATGCCCATTGGACATTTAGGCTCTACCTAAATCATGAATCTAAAGGTGCTTTACAATTTTTCTTTCATTTTTAGACACAAACCACAAGTATGTGTAGCTCAAAGCACTTATCTACTGTGGTCCCACATCGAAAAAAAATTATTTTTATACGTACCTTTATATAGGGAAATATTAAAGTATTTGGGTGCATTGCAAAGAGGGTCTATTGGTAACAGTAATGGCCCAGCCCAAGTTATGTTCAAAGCCCTAGTACCAACGGGCATTCTTTACAATAATTTTTGCTCTTTCCAAACAAACCAGATTTTTGGCTCATATATCCCTTGTCCCACATCGAATAGGAGTACAAGAGGTGTATAGTAAATATAGAGTTAGCAAGCTACATTTGGTTGCCACGAAAAGAGTCTCTGTGAAGGAAAGTCTCCCAAACAAATGTATGGGGGACTCCCCGGTCACAGTTACTCTGTTTCTTGGCCTCATATCATTTTTGAATCTTCGGCCAGCCTAGCATACTTAGTGAATTTTCTAGATCAGGCTCACAGTCGAGGAACACCTCTTTTCGGACCCCAAGAGTCCAGATTAGTACAGTTCCTTTCGGGCTCACAGCCGAGGAACACCTCGCTTCGGACCCTAAGAGTCTAGCTCAATAAAGTTCCTCTTGGGCTCACAGCCGAGGAACACCTTGTTTCAGACCCTAAGAGTCTAGCTCAGTACAGTTCCTCTCGGGCTCATAGCCGAGGAACACCTCACTTTGGACCTTAAGAGTCCAGTTTAGTACAGTTCCTCTCAGGCTTATAGCCGAGGAACACAACTCCTCAGACCCCAAGAGTCCGACACAATACAGTTCTTCTCAGGTTGATTGCCAAGGAACACAACGCTCGGACCTCAGGAGTCCGGCGCAGCACAGCTCCTCCCAAGCTCATAACCGAGGAGCATATTGCTTTGGACGACAGGAATCTAATGCAATACACATCTTCTCAGGCTTCTAGCCAAAGAGGATACCACCTCAAACGATTCAAGTTCGAAGCTGAGCCAAAAAGTGTCACTTCGAACAATTTAAGTCCAAAGCTGCGCCAGTAAGGTATAAGACCAACCGGGGCCAAAAGTTCTCTATAGCAACATGCCCACAGATCCTTGTTTAATGGGCTAATATTGTATAATTCGTGGAAAGTTTCATCCCTCATCGAAATAATACAAGGAAAACTAGTATTGATATATTTATGCCTTACAAATCAGTGGCAAGAAGGGTTCTGGTGTCTTAGCCGAGCGTGTGCACAAAATAATGTACAACACTTTGTGTAATGACCCGGTCATTTTTCTTCCTTTTCTTTTTCTCAGATTTTAACGGATATTTTTTTTTCGTTGTCTTTTCCTTTTTGGGTTCGGTTTTTCATCACTTGATGTCATCTCGAGTGCTCTGGAATGATTTCCGAGACTCTTTTCCTTAGATTGACAACTTCCTTTGGGGATTGTGTCATTTCCATATTTTATTTTTCCGAACACTATTCACATTTTGTCTTTTTCTCGTTTATCTTTTTTCCTTTCACAACCTCACTTTTTGTACTCGGATTTGATTCCGGTTTTGCATGCATTCATGATATTTGATTTCCATGATAGTGGTATTTTTACTTTTCTAGAAAAGCATGTTGATTGCTTACTTCCTTCATAAAGGGGTATTAATGCATACTTTAGTGTAATTATTCTTAACTTGTGGGGTTTTAGTGTAATTAAATAAAGTAATTATTTTTCATTTTGGGGACCATTTTGTAATTAAATTTGAAAGATATTTTCAAAAAGGACGTTTTTTGCAATTTTTGAAAAGTGTGACAAGTGTCATACTCTCATTGGTCCACTTGTTGATATTTGTGTGGAAATACTTTGATGCATTGGATGATGACATTTGGAGGGTGAGGATTCACCCACTTGTTGACCTAGGATTGGTGCACTTGTTGGCTTGGATGGTTGATAAGTGTAGGTATGGGATTAAGCCTAGGAAGGAGCCATGGATTGGTGACAAGTGTAAGATCACAATTTAGTCTTGCAAATATCTTTGCGCCACTTTAGGATTATGGTTTTAAAGGAGGGTTTTTATGCAATTGATCATAGATGTGTGTGTTGACCATGGTGTAGGATCACATAGTGAGTAGAGGATTTATATTTCCTCCACTCACACATTTTCACATTTTCATCTCTTTCTTCCTCACCACAAAACCCTAGCCTCCATGGATGAAGCTTGAAGCTTTAGGCATTGACCTTGATCTTTGAGGCCCTTCCACTTACTTTAGATCATAAAGCTTGGAATACTTTTTGTTCCCCTCATCCTCCTCTTCAAAACCCTTGAAGGATCTAACCTAGCTCCTAGTTTTGCTTTGGTATCTAGAGATTCAACTCTCTAGTGAGGTATTGATTTATTATTTTGAAGTATTTTTATATCATTATTGAGTGTTTTACATGCATAGAAAAGAAGAACTTGTATTCTGCCCTTAAACTGTTTTAACTTGAAATAAATCTTGTCAAATTAAATATATAACATGAAAATATAATCAATTAGCTTCCATTTAGTTTTGGTTTCATGTAATTTGGATTTAAAATGAATTAGTTATGAATTTTTGAAGTTGCAAGCCAGTTGCTGGAAATTTAAATCTTTTCTTATCCGGTCCGGAAATGAATTTTTATATGGATCTGTGTTACTTCAATTACCTTGAAATTTTTACTAGAACTTTACCCATAGATTTCACACTAGTCAGAATTTTTTCACGATTTTAGAGCATTTCTAAATTTTTTTAAAAATCTGAAACTATCTGCTGTCCATGTTTTTATTGCAACTGGAAAACATATTTTTAGATGATTAATTTCACTAACCTTTGGACATTGGATCATGGCTTAAATTTCTAGTTTTACACTCTCATATGTTTACTTCTAAAATAAATTAGGTTTGCCCAATTTGGATGTCAAATGAATTTTTCATGAATTTTCAAAGTTGGAAGCTACAAGCTGAATGTGTTTTCTGGGCAGAATTTATTTCAAAGTTGTGGGTCAAAACTGTTTCAATTGGGAAAATATTTTGTTAAACTAAATTGATATTATCAAATTACAGTGTTTAAGCTTTCATTGGGCTTTGGATTCATTCAATTTGGATTAGAATTGAATTTTTTTATGAATTTCCCAAGTTGAAGGTAACAAGCTGAAATATCTGTCTTGCGGACCAAAAATTTGGGGCGATTTCATTTCGGTGGCAATTGGGATTTTCATTCCAATTGAGGTAGGAAATGTTTTAGGATTTATATGTGTTGTATTGAGTATTTTTCATGATTATACAACTTATATGTATGCCTTGTATCAAATTTAGAAAGTTAGTAATTTTTATTTCTTTGTATAAGATTTAAAATTCATGATGATATATAACTTTGATTTGAATTGTGGCATGCTAGAAAATCATATTTTAATATGTTTGTTAACATATATTAAATTGGTATTGATTAAATAAAAATTGCATATTTTATTTAATATTTATCTTTGGTGAAAGATTAAATCACATGGCTGTACCTTGCATGAAATTGACTTGTGATATACTTTTAAATTATGTCTTGGCATATTGTTTAAATTAATCAAGACAAATGAATCATTGAGTGAATTTTAATTAATTATTTTAATTAAAATATCTAGATTTTGAAACTCATCTAAATGATCTCAAATTAATATATGTCATATAGCATGCCAAGACTTGATTTACTTGCTCGATACAAGTGATTTTCATGCAATGTACAGCCATGACTATTAAACTTTAATACTAG